GAGTGGACGTTAAACCTCATTTCTCTCTCTCTCTCTCTGAATGACTTTTGTAAACTGTGATCACCAACAATTTAAGAAATAGTGGTAGCCATATTTTATGTTTGGTATTATTTCCGCTAGTACCTGTCTTTTACTTGAACTTTATCTTGTCAAAGACAAGAACATTGAATGACTAGACCAATCCGGATTTCTTCTAAAAAAAGATAGCCACGAAGAGCGTAGAATACGCCCACACAGTAGCTGGACCGTTGACGAAGACGGAAATGGTGGTGAGCTTGCAGAGTCTCGACTAATGCTTTAATATATTTAATGGCAGTTGTTATACAGCATTGCATGGTTACATGGTTATAAATATATCTAGCTTACAAACTGACACATAAATAGAAGTTACACTAAAACCAAATAATATACATATGCAACTGTTAACTTCAATTAAGTTTAAATCCGATATTTTAAATTTCAAATAAATAAGAATTCAGTAAATTATATAGTTACTTCTATGGCAGGACTGCTCTCTCCTGCTAAGAGAACGGTTTTACACAAAATAATAAGTGACACGCAGGCCGCTTCCTAACAGCAGAAAAAGCACGTGCAACAACAAAAAGGAGAAACAGTTTGGAATCAGACCACTGATAATTTGTAACAGTAAACAGAACATTAGCTTTAGCTGCGTTCACACTAGGGGTTTAATCTGAATTGAATTCAGAATAAAGCCTTATTCCGGACTTTGGCGTCACACTCGATTCGGTAAAAACCGAATTGAATTTGAATAAACGAATCCGTATATTGTTCCGAATTCAACTCGGAACAATTATTCCGAATCGGGTTATTCGCAGTCAAGATTTGAGTGTGACACGCTTGATTCAGATCAACAGTTTTACCGGAAACGATAACTTTGCCAACATAGCTGCAGCCCATCATCACTGAAACAAATTCTGCGTTAACATAACCAGGTAACAATAGATTGTCAGGCAACGAAACATAAGCCCTCAGCAGCTAATCCTCCGAGCACTCAACAAGGGTTGTGGCATACTATTCCTTTTGTTAATAAAGCAAAGATTTAGAACACACTAAATTCTGATTACGAGTTCTGCCCTATACTAGCATTTTAAATCATGGGCCATAACTCTTGCAGTAATTATCGTAAAACGTTCAAATTCAATTTGCTTCTTCATCCATGACCTTAAACACTGTGCATAAATTTAAAGTCAATCAGATATTAACATTAGCCTCTAGCGCGTCGGGCGGGGGCGACGACAATATACGACCACATATCAAATACAAAGATAGGTGTGTTCAGATCACAGCTGACCATTCACGGTCTAGACCTTGGGGGCAGGACAGGTAAGCTTTAGTCGTCGCGAGTCTAGTGGAGCCTAGTCTCTAGCATGTATTGCACATGACAACAAAATGTATTGCTTTACATTATGTATGTTTAGTGCTGAAAGGATTTGAATTATGAAATGGGAGCCACGATGATTCAGTGAGTAAGAAGCTAGTTCCCTAGTCTGGTGGTCGAGGGTTCGCTCCAGGTGTTGACCGAAAATGTTCATCGTGATTTTCCGGTGTGGTTTCCCCATGTCAGTGTTGCAAGGCGGAAGGACTGACAAGGACAGCTGTTTAATCGTTCGGATGGGACGAAATACAGAGTCCTGGGAAAATGGTCTGTCACAAAGTGACCTCAGGTTCTTTAACTTAATTGCCCCCTTTTCCAAATTTCCAACAAACACCACAACTAATTAATTTATTTTAAATATGTATATTTTGCAATCAATTTACATATACAATTTAAGAGGTTTTTACAAAATTAAATGCTTTAAAGTTACAGTTCATTCAGGCATTTATTACTCGGTTGCTTTAATTCAATCAATCTTCCTGGTTAGCATTCAGATTAATTCTGCGTCTTAATTCCACCATCTCAATCGCGTAAGTTGGTTTTTTAAAAACATTTTAAACCCGAACACAAATTCTCGGAAAACACAAAACCTTCACATGTCACAGATCTATTTCCCGGATTCACCTAGACTCCCTAATTGTATTAAAACTTCACCAAGATTGAAATGTACTTCACCAAGACTACATGCGTACGATTCACAAAGTTCACCAAGATTAAACTACAATATGATTCACAAGGTTACCCCTGGGTTGAAATATGATTTATATCGGTCACCTAGACATTACCGGTTAAATGTTATTTCATCAAGGAACGCATTCATCACATTTAAATACATCGTATTTAATTACCAGGTTCTAAGCATCTAAAGCCAGTCATTGGTGTTACCGTAGATATAGAAAAACAGTCATGTCTGGTCCTTTAAAATCACTCTGATCTAAGTAGAGAAAACAGCCATGTCTATCCTGTAACTTATTTTAAACCTCTCTGACAAACTTTTCTAATTCCTACACCAAGAAACTTTTAGTCACTCAAACATCCAATCAGAACTATGCACCACATGCACATGCATCACAATCCAGACACATTCATTACATTACACCCCGTTACCTAACTTGCTCAGACATACCAACAATCGTTCTATAAAAACAACGCATATACATTGAAAATAATTAAACTTTATTAACCAAAACCTGTACAACCCTTAATAAATGTCTTTAAAAGAAATAAATATTCCCTTTAGCCATGTACCAAATTAATTAGGTACCCTAAATCACAGAAATAAACCATGTCACAATTATACATAGCAAATTAACATATCAATTGTGACATGGTCTATGCCCGTCTTTATAAGCCCAGTCGGACCAGAACAGTAGGAAGTTTGATCCCATTTCATAGCATTTCAATTATGAAATGTATCTTCGCTAGTACAGAGTGAAGTACATGTACATTCTTGTTGATATATAGCAAACGCTACCAAAAGAATAATCATCCTCATTTGCATTTGATTTTGGTGCCAACGAAATCGTGCCGGCGGTGCATGGCAAGGTGTCGAAGATGTAAGACCCGGCGTCGCTGATGTAGCCTTGCTTGCCTCAGGAAATTAAACAGAAGCAACACAAGATCACCAATACGAATGTCTGGCGCTTTGCATTCTGAATTCAATCCGAATAAACTGTAATGTGACGCACCGCTTTTAAACCGGGAAAAACCCATCCGAATTCCGGAGACCGGTCTCCGGAATTCGCATTGAATGCGCATGCAGTGTGAACGCAGCTTTAGTCTCACCTGATATCAAAAAGACGAGTAGGAGATTTTATTTATCACCCAATCCCTTCTTACATGCACAAATAAATAAATATAATTCTTTGCTATAGATTTCACTTTTACTGAACCTGATTACATTACGGCATAGTGATAAATCATTTTTTGACAGCAATTCAACCTATGCAAAGTCCTTTATATTGACCCAGTGTTTCCACCAAAGCCAATTAAATAAAAATAGTTCCTTTTTAATAAGGAAGAAGTTACTTTTAATAAAAAATGAACTGTTCTTTGAAAATAAAAAAAGTAGTTACTCAGGATTTCTCAGCGTGGTTTCCCCTCGTCACATAAAAGAACCGTGTTGGCAGCCGGTATGCGAATGAACACTAGGCGGAGACACCGCTGTCTAGCTAAAATTTCCTCAGAGCAGGAGTAGGATGTCAAACCCCATTTCTTTTGTTCGTCGGCATTCTTTCACCTCACACAATAGCAAAAATCCGACAATATCGGACCCGCGATAACACAGAACGTTTATTCCACGTTTTTATTTCATCTAAGATTACCACAATGCTTTACAATATCAACTCCGAGAATATTACATACAGAAATTGCAGTATATCTAGAATTACGCTACAAGGCTTCTTACCAAAATCCTTAAAAAAATGATCATATTTCACAAGTTTAATAAAAACACTCCATTGGCTTCCAATGCAACAGAGGGTACAACTTTAAGATACTTCTTCGGACATATTAAGCCTTGGATGATAAAATTGTTATTAAAGGGTGCATGGCTCTATTCTTTGGAATAATAATATAGGCCAATGTAGGTCTAAAGGCCACAGGAAGGTGATTTCTAATCAATTTTTTAAAAAATTTATTTAATTTCTAATCAATAATGTTCGGTTAAATATATGATTATATTGAGCGACAGTAGTTTGTGTCTGCTTTGTCTATCCTACACAATTTTTCAAATTATTATTTGTTGTGAATCAACCATTTTTAATGGTGCGATATGTTTTTCTTTCTTAATTACAAATGGTACACTAAACCATAGGATACATGACTGAAACCATAGGATACATGACTCGTGTATTGATTTTAAAAAAATCAGTGGGTCTCAAATATTGGAAATTAGGAGCCTAAATTTTCATAGGAAGATAACAACTTCAATATGGATTGAACTGACCAATATTGAATTATAATTCATGTTTTTAATTTCAAATATTATGGAAAATATTGAGTTTTAGCTCTTTTGACATCTTTAGGTTACACTTAGTTATAGTTATCATTTTCCTAAGGACCAACTTTACTTACCGTTATTTGGATTATCAGAAACAAACTTTAATATCAATTTACATATCTATCATGGAGCATCACTATTAAAGATGCCTTATGTAAGATTTAGATAAAGTTCCCACTATACCAGTTATTAAATTACTTTATTCTGAGCGAAGTTATCAGTGGTTTTGATTAAGATAGTGTAGTCTTGATTTTCATTGTTAAAAATTGCAAACATCCAATGTTCTAGAGAATCTATTGCTTGTCATGTGAATAAATGTATAATTAAAAAGTTATATAACATTTGAACCCAAAAAGACCTGCAATAGGTTCTTACATAATGTATATTTAATGTTACATAAAAACCTGATCCAGCAAGTGGTGTTACTATCGCTACAACCTGTTTGTCTTGAACATCAGACACATTGGGCTATCCTTCCACAAATCTATCTATGATCATAACAGAGACAGATTGGGAAAACTGATTGTAATGGGGCTACAAATTTGAAACATGTTTTTGGTGCTATATCAATGGAATCAGAAAGAAGTAATAATAATTCAAATACATAATGATAATAATTTAATAAGAAAGTATGTACATAAAAATTTGTATAAAAATGTTGATGTACAAATATTTACAGGTATATATAAATTTTTACATCACTCTTTGATATGAACAGGCCATTGGACGGAGTATTTTGGATTTCATATTCATACTACCTGAACATTTTTCCTTTATTTTACTTACACTTTCTAAAAATTTGCACTAATTATATACTTGTTAATTATCTATTTCATCAAAATCCCCTTTTTATTGTACTGCTTGAAAAGTCTCCTTATTTTCATACTATTTGAAGATTCTCATTTCTGTTTTTCTTTCAAACTGTTAGTTTTAAATTGTGAAAATCAGAGCTAAGATAACAATAATTCTGAGAAAATAGCTAAAAGAAAATTACTAAAAAAATGATTGTCTCTTTTCAACCTATCCATAAAAAGGAATGACAGAATTTTAAGGGGACTAAAAAAAAACATTTCTCTACAGAGCTAATAACCAAGTTCCTAATTGCCTGATGAAATGATCGTTATATACATACAATTCATACCGTAAGGATTTTTGCTCCTTTAACTCCATAATTCACTAAATTTAACGTACTGTAAAGCGATTTAAATATATTAAAATAGAAGGGCATAAATCTTTACATCATTTTCACATTTTTTTCTAGCTATTACAAACTTAAAGTTACAATTTCATATTTTTAAGTTATATTTTATTTATTAAAATAAAACCCTAAAATAGATGGTATCTATAAACAGTCCTACCTTGTTAAAGAATAATCCTATAATTCACTATTGCCACATGAGAAATTGGCAAAAATATCATTTTCAACTTCAAATTCAAACATTTGAAGATAGCTATTCCATGGTGGGGAATAGGAAAACAAGGGAGGTAATTGGGAGGTAATTGTGTTATTATTTCCGGTGTAAAGATTTTTAAGTGTGAGAAAGATAACCTATGATCGTATAATAGTGAGTTGACAACCTATTGAGCAAAAGACATTGAAATAATCATGTTTTGACTTTCTTAGAAAATATGAAATTGTAACTTTAAGACATGTAGTATTAACACTAATATTTATGATCAAAATAAAACTGTCAGATTTTTTCCAAATTATACATACCAAATATTTGATATGACTTTAGTAATATTTATAGATTTTTAATGTATATTTACTAACTGTTAGAATTAACTGTGCTTGATTTTGATAGAATGACAATTACCATATAAAGATATCCCTTTCTAGTATTACATGTACCTACAGCATTATTTTCAGAGCTATCACTTTAACTTAATTTAACTGGATACCTTGATTTTGATTTGCCATTTTTATTATGAATAATATTGAGTAATGACATAGCTAAAAGATGAGAGATCAGTATCCTTTCTTAAATCCTAATACACCAATGATTGTAATCAATTCTGTAACTGCTGGGAAAGCACTGCAAAATCCAAACACATACCAATACCAGTCACATGGCCAAGCATCAAACAAGAAATAGGATAAAACAACAGCAGCACTACTGTGTGCACATGTAGCTAAATTCTTATTAAGGAAATAAATATAAGTAAACATATAATACCTAAATGATCAGCAGTAAATAAAGTGAGTTAATTAGCTCAGAATATTAACTGTTTTCCATCTGCAAAATAAAGTTTAGAACATTTTTGGGGGGAAGTATTAGAAAAATAATTAAAGGTGTTTTAAGTATATCAGGATAAAAAATATTTCCTATTTAGTGTAAAAGGGTAAATAAAATAGTTAACGTTAATACATCTGATGATGAAAACAATGCATGCGCTATCGAAGCCAATGATCGACGCCATGTGATGTAATGTCACACATAAAAGGCATTTGAACGTATAAAGGTCAGTCATCTTACACAGACTTAGAAGAAGGCTTTCGCATTACCTCTGAAACAGATTGATATGATACAGACAGGAGCAGGACAATTGAACCTGTATGATAATAATAAAGAATATTTAATTATTAAGTATTATTTTTAACAAAAAGGACATAAATACAGAAAAACAAATGATATCACCGCCAGTTGTCCTCGCTGGCAGTTGTCCTCACCGGCAGTTGTCCTCACCGGCAATTGTACAACTGGCAGTTGTCCTAGACACGATACAGAATATACCTTTCTAGCCCGAGGTGTAGTATTATGGTATGCTAAATAGAGTTGACTCCCTTTATATGCCATTACTTCAATCAATAATTGTTGTAGGAACTAGATTTCTCTTTCATGTGTGCTCGTAAATTCCAGAAAATAAAAAAATGAAATATCTAAGTCATTTTGGGATTCATGGCGTGTTTATAAGCCTTAAATATAAATCACTTCAGGCAAATCTCTGCATTCAAAGTAGTAATTGAAAAATTTATACATAGAGGGCAAAATTATGACAGATTATATACAAAAAACAAACAGAACATTAGCATAAATAAATAATTGAATGAAACATTAGGTAGGAATAAACAATCAAAGGCAGAATCAACATGAATAACTAATCAATGAAGGTATCAGCATGAATCAACAGTCAAATGTAGCATCAGCATGAATTAACAACCGAAGGTGGCATCAATGAACATCAATAAACAACAATTTCCTAACTTGCTCAAGAAGCATAATTACACTTATTAAATTAAAAAGTTGATGCAGAAATATACTTAAAAAATACTAAGATAAGGCACTTATTACAGTTTCGCAGTCACTGATTTTGTGGCATGCGATCACCTGCCATGCACCTCAATGTTGAACGAGGGGAGGTTTTCCTCCCTCGCCTTAAAACTGAAAATTGCTCTCCAGATTTATAAAACATGGACATATGTACTTTGTTTTCTAAAAGAGTGAAAGACTCACATTCCTATTGCTGCCATTGTGAATATTTATTTTGTGTATTCGATTAGTGTATCATGTGATCGCACAGGGTAATAAAATTCTGATGAATATGCTGCTAAAAATAAATGACTTGTTTGCATCATTGGTTAATTTAACTGAAATGTAAAGTAGAACTCTCACGAGACATGAGAAATTATGAGAGATGGCACATAAAGTTTCCAATGAGAATAATTCCGGAAGAAATAGATTCTATTTTGATGGAATTTTTTAGCATTTATGATTATATTGTGAATAGGGGTTATGTTTTTAAACAAAATTTATACAATTACAAGCTATATATATTTAGAAATGTCAAAAAGTATTTCTATTGGAAGTAGTTTTAGACGACAGCAAAAGTTTGACTTGATTGTACGAGTGCTATTAATTAGCAGGCGATGTTTATTATCATTTATGTAACCAGGAATGACCCCTAACATGCAGTTATTGATCTTCAGAACCATTTCTCATACATACAACTAATCACTCTCCTTAATATCAGATCACTCTCCTTAATTTCTAAATCAATCTTCTTATTGAAACTAGAAGAGCTTTTTTTTTGGGGGGGGGGGGGCGATTTTTTCAATTTGTTCATTAAGGGGAGCTTTTTTCGGCTCTACTCTATAATACAAACAACAACAACTGATTTCGGAAGAAGGTACTTCTTGAGATACAGTAGGACTCATACAGCGTATTTAGCAGGTTAGCAGGTTAAGTTACAAAAGAGCAACCATCAAATTTTTGTTGTTGCACATTCTATAATTAATATAATTATTTTAACAAGGATACATAGTAGACTCTGGAATGGCATAAACATGGTGATTCCACCAATAAATCCTAGTAATTCAAGGAAAAATAAACCAAGTGTAACAGATAAGCCAATAGTTAATCTGAAACAAACAATGATAAATATTTTTAAAATTGTCTATATTTACAGTTATTTACATTTACAGTCTAATTAAAATATTTTATTTTGTTTCATCTTTGTTGTTCTGAATTTTACACTACATAGTACATATATGATCTAACATATATTCAGATCTGCTGCTGATGGGACAGACAACTTATTGATTGCACTGTTGACATTTCTATAAAAACAACTGGGCTACTAAAAAGAAGTTTTTCCAGTTCGGACATGGTGAAAGATTTTGTAAATAAGGATAGCTTAGTGATTCCTTTTATTCTAGGTCAGAGGTCCTTGGAGTACAAAACCTCAGTCTATACAACCAGGACATCATCCTAAGTAGCATACACAATTACAGTACAGTGATTTATGTGGAGCTAATTTCAGCTGTGGGACAAAAAAACTCTCCTCGATTTAGTTCTAAGCACCTTAAAATCTCTATGTAAGAGGTGTCAACAGAATTCTGTCCTATAAAATTGTGATCGAATTCCTTCTACAAACTGAAATTATGTACATTCACCAGTAATTTGAATTTAATTTCCACCCTCGGTCAAGTCAATCAATGATGGTCTAAATCTAATACCTGGACATGTTTAAAACCATGTATTCTACTTACTGCATATCTTTTAGAGAATATTCATCTGACGAATAATTTTCTGGTAAACACATCAGTATATTTTCACCCTAAAATTTAAAAAAACTTGACATTTAAGATATTATTTATTGCTTTCTATTAAAAATAATTATATATGTCATAAAACACTACGTTGATATGAAAATGTAATCCAGAAATTTTCCATCTGGAATTGCATATTATAAGAACTAATCAATAGACATCAGATCAGCATTATCTATTATCTTTAAATTTAAAGGCAAATTATTAAAATCATTCCTACTCTACTAAATAATATCCTATTATTAATCCATATCTGGCTTTGTTTATGCATTGCATTCAGTAATTACATACCGGTACATGTTAATAGGGCTTTTTAGTAGACTATAAGAGATTGTCCATTCAAATGTGTGTTTATATAGGGAGCTGGCACATTTCTCTCAATATGCAATATTAAGACATATGAAAATTCATATCTTCTTTCTCAGTAGTGCAGGGTATATAAGTGGAGTTTATAATGTATATAATATTATATTTTGATTTATTAGTAGGCCTACATGTAGGGCTACGCATTAGCAGCTTTTGCATTGACTGTATTTTTGTTAGATTATTTATTGTGTCGCATGGTGAATTTGCAGCTACATATGTAACAGCATGGAGCATAACTCGATATTTAAACAGTCCTGTCTTCCTGTTTTGTGATTAATCCAAAATGGACATATAATGTTCATATTTCAATATACGTTTGTGTGAAAATATCTGTGGTAAATCAGACAATCTATTCTACTCTAGGCACTTTGTGACTGTCACTGTAGCATTTATTGGACGTTGTAAACAAATCGACCAGACCTACCTTGGACCAAAAAATTACAATGACAATCACTAGATGAGCTATTAAAGTCAGAAAACGGGCCGGTACTAATCCGGAAATTTTCATCTTTCTTGTTTAATGATAATCAGGACTGTATGCTGAAGGAGTGAAGCAAAGCCGTCTTCTTGTTGACAACAAAACAACAGAAAATGAAAACAAAAAAATGTCGACTTGTTTGACAAGCCTGAATGAAAAGGGTGTTATTTGCCAAAACTGCAGGTAAAATTACTGATCACCAGATAAAAGAATAAAGGTTGCTGTCTAAAAAACTGAGAGAGTTCTTTGCAGTTTTTCTGAAAAATTAAAGTTGTCTCAACATGTTTTTATTTTTAGCGGCCATCTTAGAAAGCTAGATTTCGAATCGGAAAAGACACTGAAACGAAATACAAATCGTATAAATATATTAACCGAAACGAAATACTAATATATTTCACACCAATAAAAAACAAAAAAAACTACATAAGTCTCTATTACCTAAAACTGTTTCAACAATGCTTTCTCGAAGAATATTTAATATAGTGTCTAGAAGATGTCCGTCCCGATAGCAAAAAAAGAAAAAAAGAAAGAAGATATTATTATTATAATTAAGTGCACGGAGAGTGGCGTACAGAGAAATTTGCCGTCCTCCACGGCCAAAAATACAAAACTAACCAAAGATAAAACAATTCCATCCGCACAACCAAGCCACGGTGGCTCAGTGAGTACGACGTTGGCTTCACTCTGATCAGCAGTGAATATTCGCTATTAGTCTTCGCAATACTTCTATGAAACAGGGGGAATCACGGTGGCTAAGTGGCTAAGACGCTGGCTCGCTAGACTGGAGGTCGGGTGTTCGATCCCTGCATTGGCCGAGAAAGTTCATCCAGATTTTCCGGCGTGGTTCTCCCTTGTCAGTGATGCAGGACGGAGGGGCTGACAAGGAAAGCTGTCTAGTCGTTCGGATGGGACGGAAAACCGAGGTCCCGTGTACACATTGGCGTGCACGTAAAAGATCCCTTGACAGTTGGAATTCGATATAAGAGTAGGCCGTAGTGCCGCTGTCCGGGCAAAATTTCCCTCATAGCACACTGTATGGCATATGCCCGTCTTCATTAGCCCAGTATGGAGCAAAACAGTAGGACGTTAAACCCCATTTCATTTCATTTCATTGAAACAGATTGCGTTGGCACACTAACCTGGAGGTCCCCTGTTCGATCACGGTGTTAGCCAGTCGTTCGGGAGAAACGAAAAACCGATGCCCCATGTATACATTGGCGTGCACGTTAAATATCTCTTGGAAGTTGGATGACTGGCAGTGTATGAATGAGTGACAATGTATAGGCCTATTCATTCGGAGGTTACGATAAACCGAGGTCCCGTGTACATTGGCATGCACGTAAATGAACCTTTGACAGGTGGAATTCGAATTAAGAATAGGCCGTAGCGCCGCTGTTCTGGCAAAATATGCCCCATGGCGTATGCCGGCCTTTATTTGTCCAGTCGGAGCAGAAATAAGACCTTAAACCCCATTTCATTTTGCCGTTCCCAACAATATTCCTCCACTCGGCGACATTATATAATCCATATTTTTCAATATCATCCCCACGGGCCTGAAGACCAAAGGGTTAACATAACCCCTGGGATTTAATTTTTACCTTTTTGTCTGCGGTATCACTTCGGTGGAAGTGGACTTTAAATAAAGCTGTTTCACGCAAATTTCGACCTGTCAAAAAATGAATTCTCACACATTGCTGATAATATGCCGCCTTCATCCAAAACATATCTCTTGGACGTTTAACGTTTGCTTCCATAATAGTGATATCGCTGATAAATTTAAAACTCAGCGTTAATTCCCAGTAAATAGATCACGTCTAGGAAGTTCGTTGTTTTGTTTGGTTCTAAAAATAAAACATAATCAACTATATAAGTAGGCCTATTGCAAGTATCAGCATACGACGAAGTCTTAATAGGTGGACGGTAAGTAAAAATATGTATTTATAGGCCTATTCACAGTACACAATTTTTATAGGATCTTTTACGTGCACGCCAATGTGTACACGGGACCTCGGTTTTTGAATTATAAATACATACATAAATTACAAAATATATAAAACAATATTATACAGTGGCAATAATGTACAGATTCAGTCAGTACATAGGTCGTGAATTATTTCACGTATGTTCACGGTTTATATCTTCGTTGTTTGATTCTAAAAAATATATATCATATCATATAATGACATTTAGTAAAATTAGGGTCAATATATGATATAATACAGTGGGGCACTGTCGCTAAAATGTTAAATTGTTGCACTGCACTCTTTTAATATTTACTTTCAAGCTTACTACACACTTAACTGCTTCATTCCTATATTATTTATATCGTGTCTCCAGGTATCATTGTTATAGCAAGGTACTTTAAAACATTCTTGTTGAAACATGTTTGAATGTTTGAAATACACTGTATGGTGATAATGTCTTTATATATTTCTTAGAAATTAGGAAAACTATATATTTAATCATAGCGATAACTGCAAAATTTTAACTCTCATTTGAATCCGTAATATTATATGTAACCTACTTTCATTTTAGTCATATAATAAAGTCTTAGACGTTATATTAAAATGAAGTAACATGCCTGCATACAGCTTTGTATTACATTTGATTTCTTAGAAATTGAAAGTTCTTGGCAAATTTGGAAATGTGAAATTATTATCGGTGTAGACTGGAATAACCAGACGCTAGAGATTGCCATTCGATCGAGACTTCTGGCGTATTTCGCCGAACATAACATAACGGAAACGAATGAATGTAAATCAGTTTATATACATTCATATTACATTATTATATGCGTTGGGACCCATTTGTGTCCATTTCTAGGTCCCAAATATTAGCGATTTAGCTCCTTTAAGCTATACAATCAATTGTTGACGTAATATTTATTTTTAATAACACCTGTCACGTTTGAATTATTACAACCGAAACTAACATTGTATAAATATTTCCCGAATATCTCTATACAAGGGTATATAGGCCCATTATCATAAATCAGGTGATAGGTCCACAGGTGATATTAAACATTCTAGAGTTAGAAAAGGTAACGTATCTACTTTCTGTTTATCAAAGAAAGGGAACTTTTAGATGCCATTCCTTTGTTTAATACTGTCCTTTTATGATTCACAAATTTCCTCGAATGTGATGTACATTATCGTGAATAATGCATAAGAAATTAATAGTATGATGTAATCAGGGGCGTGCATGTCAATTTTGTTTAGGGGTGATGCACAGGACCCTAATACGAGCGACGCCCCGTGAGAAATTTTTGAATCTGGAGTCCCTGAAATGCCATTTCCTTTACTTTGGGTGAAGATTTCTGATGGTCAGAAAACACTAATAACATGAGTAAAAATGGGTATTTTGCAGGAGTGCCACCCACGCACGCGGCACGCCACAGGCCACATCCTATGGTCTATCATATTCAATAGAAGGCTTGATCTCGCTTTAACTACAAGTTCAGAAATTGCAGACCATCTAGCAACGTCTAGATGTTGTAAATCTCACGGTTGTTGCTTCAGGAACATTATGGTCTAAGAATCACCTGGAAAATGTTGAATAATGTTGTCTGCGAGGTTTATGATTAATATTTCTGGCAATGTGATTGAAGTGGGCATATACAACTCTTTGGTAACAAGAGTGTATTGTGTTAAACGTGAACATACTCGGCTCTAATTTAAATAATATAATTCGCAGTGTTTTAGTTTCCTTTTGTTTTGATCCTAAGGAATATAAAAACTAAACGTAAGGATTAAATCTATTGATTATGCAGAAAAGCAGGACATTAAACCCTATTTCATTTCCATTGATCCTATAAATGCTATCCAAACTCAAAGTCCGTAAATCTTAAATATCCCCGTCTCCGTACTTCGACAAGATAATCACCAACTGAGAAAGTATATCCCATAAGCTGGCGACGGGGCGTATATTAATGAATATGTTCGAGATATCACATATTTTTCGTATTAAGTTACATGTTTATGTCAATATTGATATCAAATAGAAATATAATGTCGACTTCGGATTGGGGGATGGGGGAGATTGTGGGGATATATACAATCTGCATGGCCTTAAGATATACTTATGAATGAAATCAATCTAAACGCCAATCGTTAAAGCCAAAGGGGCCTTCATTTGATTTAAACAATTTTTTATTCGGATAAGATTGATTTTAAGTACATACACTTTCAAAAAATGTAAGGATTCAAAAAGAAAAGCTTATATTAACTCGTCTCCTTGGAAACATCTTTTCACTGTTTGAGGTTACCACAACTATATCTTCTCTATCTGGCTGTCTGAACGAGGATCAAGAAATCAACCAAAATACCCATCGATAATTTAGAGTTTTTCATTTAGTTATCTCTAAATGTATTGTAGACTATGGCAGTAGTTGGACAACGTGTTATTAGAGGACCAGATTGGATAGCTGGTGATATAGATGGTGGAGAAGGACACCTTGGTACAGTTGTTAGTGTTGGTGGTTTAGAAACAGTGGAGGTTCTATGGGATAATGGTAATCGCAATACCTGTAGAATTGGACACAACGGACACCATGATCTAAGAGTTTTTGATAATGGAACCACAGGTGAGTAATGGGTAAATGTTCAAAGCCTGTTGGTAACTATGCTAAGTTTTTTCATCGTACTTTCATATATACACTGTTAAAACAAGAAATCAATGCCTGTAGTATCTTATTGCTAAATTGGGGTATGCTAATGAGTCGGGTGACGTTAACCCATGTCCAGCTTAATTCTGACTCTTTCCCAGTTTAACTGGATTATGACGTACAAAACATTCACAACAATTTCGAGTCGAAAACGTGTCTCATTTTACAGCGTTTAATCCTTGCATAAATGTCCTTGATAACTTAGTTATACAATTTGTTTGTTTATAATAAAGTTTGTTTACGGTTGTACAGAATTACATTTTGTACTGTATCTAAAGGGACACAAATTCGCTAAATCATTCCGATCGAACGTCAAAGGTGCCGAAATGGCATATTTACGTTTTCTGAAAGTTTCACCTTGAGCCGTCTGAAAATTTAAAGGAGGTACACAGCTCTTTTAGAGCACTCACCTGTAAACTTTAATTGAGTGACCTGATAAATTCGACTATTTGATAAGTGTTTATAAACTTTGTCAAGCGGTAAGTAAAACACAACAACGACCTGCAAAATGCAATTAGTTGCTGGAGGGGGGGGGGAATAGCAGAAAGTTTCCTACAGGCACAAGATGTAAGAAGATTTGTACTATATCCGAGAATTCTCCTTTAAGGGGTCCGTCACGAGGGAACAGACTGTACTGTATGTTCTGAAAGAGGGATATTTGGAATGAGATGGACTTGTAATGTGTGTAGTGACTGTCATCTGTGTCCTGTATGTTATGTAACAGATCAACATGACACACACCATGATTTTACCAGATACACAACACCTGATGATAAAGGGTAAATCCATGTAGTTTTTTATAATTTTTGATTGTTTTTATACGCCCACATTTTTACATGGACTTATAGTGTCGTCGCCCCTGTCCGTTCGTCTACATTTTGTTTGTGGGCACTCTACAGGTCACAAGTTTTATCCGATATTGATGGAACTTGAAATATACGTTTCCAAATATCTCGGTTCCTTTCGATATTCGCGCACATCGGACCTTAACTGGAATTTGGCCCTTGATTGTACGAAAAATCGCGTTTTTGGGTTGTGGTCCTTCTGGAGGTCACAAATTTTATCTTATTTTAAAACTTTTCAAATATATTACAGTTACACCCTAATGACGGTTGAGGTCGAATTTCGTGAAAATCGGACCGAAACTGTCCGACAAAATGGCCGCTCCTCGGACGCAAATGGTGTAAAAGTATTAATACCAAGGTTGTGGATCTTCTAGATGTCACAATTTTTATTCGATTTTGACGAAACGTAAAATATAATATGTTTATATCCCAAAGATCTCGGTTCCTTTGGATATTCACTGATATCGGACCGTAATTTACTGGATCGATCATGGCCCTTGGTTGTACGAAAAATCGCGTTTTTAGTTTTTGGGCCCTCTAGAGGTCAAAATATTTATCCGATTTTGATGAAACTTAAAATATATGTGTATATCCCAAAGAACTTGGTTCCTCTTGATATTGTCTCCTGTCGGACCATAACATCTTCGATTACGGCCCCTGACTGTGCAAAAGATAGCTTTTTTTTTAGCTTGTTCTCTGTCCGTCTCTTGCAAAATGTAAGCGTACCTTGCATGTCAACCGCTTGTCTTTTGTATTTTGGGGGTGTTTGTTTTTGTTGGGGGTTTTTGTTGCTGGGGAGGGTGTAGGTGGGTGTAATTTTGCATTGTTTACCAAAAGGAAACACCTTCTATGAATATAAAGTAACACATTAGGGTGGGTAATGTCCTCTATTCGACACTCTGTTTGTTTACAAGGATTTGAAACTTGTAATCATATCAAAGAAAGTCTGATTATTATATAATAATGGCTACAGTATACAAGTGCCAGTTGACAGCAGTATAGTAGACATCTTTCTAAAACACAGCTCGAGTAACTTGTGCACGAGTAGGACTGCATTATATATCTGTATGTCTCACAAAAGTTTATTTTTCGTCAGCGTCCCAGTTCCAAAGAGGGCCACCAGTGTCAAAGCTCAAACAATGGGGATTTTTCCTGGTGCCGTTGTTAAAAGAGGACACGATTGGAAATACGGAGATCAAGATGGTAATAATAATAGGAAATATATATTATTCGTGTGAGATTTGGTATGTTTTTATCTGATATATAGCGTGAGCATCGTCGAACATGGAGCTGGGTTTGATACAGGAGTTGGCCAAGAAAATTCCTGTTTGGTTTCACCTTACCGTTGATTCAGTTCAGATGGAGGAAACATCGAAGGTTCCGTGTTTGCCATTTGTAGCATGTTAAAGATTCCTGTAGGAGTGTAGCTGTCAGGGTAAAAGTTTCCTCAAAGCACAATATCTACCCATCTCCTTTTTCCTGGTTGGTGCCGGAGAGTAAGAATGGTGTTAAACCACCTTTCATGTCTTCGTGTTTTCGCATGTTATCTTACACGCTTAGAAATTGTTATGTTTTAGATTCTGACAACATGTAAATACTATTTTTGAAGGTGGCGCCGAAAAAACTGGTGAAGTTATCTCAGTAGAATATGGCGATAAGAACAGTAGTACAACCAGAAATAAAGTTCGTGTAAAATGGGCGCCTTCTGGTTCTTACTATATATATCGTCTTGGTGCTGAAGATGGAAAAGTGGATTTACAATTCGTCCACCAATCTCGTGGAACTCATTACTATAGAGACCATTTGCCAGTATGTGGTGAGCATAGTTCCTATAGTCATAAATAGAGCATATATAATAGAAATGTATGGTTAAGTTACATTACGATAGAGATCATTTGCCTGTATGCAGTGAGTATAGTTACATTAATATAGAGGCTGTTTGCCTGTATACAATGCGTATAGTTACATTAATCTGATTTATTCACAACGACATGAGTCCATATTGGAGATAAGGCTTGTCTGGATAATCTAGCCCATTTGTCAGATCCAATTCACACCTTCTCGGAAAGAAAAGGTTTGTCTGGATAATCCAATCCTTTTTTCTAATTTAATTCACACCTTCCCGGGGAGATCCCGGGTAATCCCATGTTCCCGAAGCAACGACCGCTAGTTCTACCCCGATAAGATATACTGATTTAAATGCAAGATCAAGCCTTATTTCTATTAAAGATCGGGTAAACCGTGGCCAGTACCGGCAATGTGTGCCTCAGGCTTTAGTTAGGTAAAATGTCTAATGGGTTAACAGATACAATTTTCTAACAGAAAACCCACCGGAGTCTAAAAGAGCAATAGTCCAAAGAACTGGTGCACAAAATATAGAAGATAGTTCCGAAGCTTTACAAGATGATGATAATGTATGTATTGTGGTTTCATCGGCCAATCTTGAAGAACTTCAAAAACAACACTGCGGTTATACTAAAGGCATGACCAATGTAAGTCAGTCATTATTGTTGATAATTGTTTATAAGCGAACATGAGGTGAGCCTTACTGTTAGATTCACACCTTTTTAATACAAATTAAAATGCACTATAGCGCCTCTCACTGAATGGATCGTTGCTAGTTATCGGCACAATCAAACAAATCACAGATGATCCCAATGTTATGGGGTATTACGGAAAAGGTAAGCATATCCTGGTCCGCGTACGGCATTGTCATTACCCCATTTATATCTCACACGTTTTAATTATAAGCTTTTAAATTATAGTGTTTTGCTACTTTCAGTTTAGGAAAGATAAGACTAGGTATAGAAGATATATTCATGCTGCAGTAAAATAAATATGCCCATAAAATGTTTTAATTTATATGCTTTTTACAATTTTTATTTCCATTAGTGTATCGGGAAAATTGGAAAGATCAAAGGCTTTACTCCAAATGGTGATGCTATAGCAGAATTCGGTGGGACAAAGTTTCGCTTTCATCCAAGAGTTTTGAAAAAGGTAAAAGGAACTTTTTTCGAGTATTTTTACATTTCTTTCTGCAGAATTTGTTCACACTGGTCGATTGTGTTTAATTTTTCTGATATACGTGAATGGTATAGCTAAAGAAATCAAGTACACATCTAGGAATTATTGGATGAGACTGACTAACACAAAATGGCACATTTCCTGCTCTTTGCCCATTTAAGATGAACTATTAAAAGTTAATATGATATAGATATATATATATATAATGTTTTAGGTTTATGATTTGAATGTGGGGGACATTGTACGGATTCTTCCTGATGAACAGAGCGTTGAAACACTTCAAGATGAACATGGTGGCTACAACCCACAAATGAAACAAGTAATGCATATTAATAACATTAGTTATTGTCTACTTAAATGTCTTCAATATATTAAAATATGCTTTCCATCGAGAATGTTTAATATGACAGTTTTTTCCAATAAAAGAATAAGTTTGGTATGTATATATGAAAACTAGAAACATCCAATCTCAATAGAAAAATACTGGATTCACTGAAAAACACAAATGAGGTCGCGCAAAGACAAACATGTAAGGGTGACACTAACTGGCAGGTTGTCAACTTTGTTGCCTGCTCGAGTGGCATCACACAGGGAGCGCTTGTATTGATTAGAGTCCTAATGTATCAACCGATAACACAGTTTGTACATGGGAATGTATCTTTAAGTACGAATATACCACTCATTTTAATTAAACTGCAAAAGCCCATCGAGTATAGAAATTTTTATAAGCCCACATTTTTATGTAGATTTATTATGCCGTCGCCCCTGTCCGACCGGACGTCCGTCCGTCCACAATTTATTTGTGGACGCTCTGCAGGTCACAGGTCATAACTTCATGGATTATGACCCATAGTTGTACGAAAAATCACGTTTTTAGTTTATAGACACTCTAGAGGTCACAATTTTCATCCGATTTTGATGAAACTTGATATGTTTATAACCCACAGATCTTGGTTCCTTTCGGTATTCGCGCATATCGGATCATAACTTCCAGAGGCATGGCCCCTGATTGTACGAAAAATCGTGTTTTTAGCTTGTGGTCCCTCTAGAGGTCACAATTATTATCCGATTTTTAAAAAAAAAAAACGTTTGAATATATCGTCGTTACACCGTAATGTCGGTTCAGTTCGAATTTCGTGAAAATCGGACCAAATTTGCCGGACAAAATGACCGCCCCACGTATGAATATAGTGGTATGTCAAGGTTGTGGCCCCTGATTGTACGAAAAAATCATGGTTTTTTAGCTTGTGAATTCTCTAGATGTCACAATTTTTATCCGATTTTAAAAACTGTTTAAATATATCACCATTCCACCATAATAAAGGTTGAATTCGAATTTCGGGAAAATGGCCGCTCTTTGTACGCAAATGGTGTAAAAGTATGTAATACGAAGGTTGTGGACCCTCTAGAGGTCACAATTTTTATCCGATGTTGGTGAAACTTTAAAATAAATATATCTTTACATCTCAAAGATTCGGTCCTTTTCGATATTTCAGACCATACCTTTCTGGATTATGGCCCCTTATTGTACGAAAAAACGCTTTTGTTTTTAGCTTGTTCTCTATCCATCTCTTGCAAAACGTGGGCGTATCTTGCCTGACAACCGCTGGTATCAATTATTATTGCCTTTCTGTGTTTAAAGTACCTTGGAAAAGTTGGCAAAGTTGTTAAAAAGGATTCAGATGGCGATGTTATTGTGGAATTTGGAAGGAGAATCTTTCTGTATAATCCTGGATGCTGTACACCAGCGCCAGGCCAGACAGTTTATGAGGAAGATGAACATGGGAGCGATGACAACGATGGTGATAGTGATGATAGTGACAATCCATTACAGCAGCTGGAAAGTATGGGACAAGTATATCCTTGAAAAGAATTAATTATGATACGTGAACAAATAATAATAAACTAACATAATGTTCGGTTTCTTCCTTCATTGTATCTAACATAGATTCTCAACAGCAGTAAATATTCGCTTACCGCCATTATCACGGATAGGGATGACATGGGGGCGAGTTAACTTTTTTCTTCTTCAATTAAATTCTGAACATTACCCTCATTTTATTTTAAATATAGATCTCAACCACTTAATGATGTTGATGATGGGCGGCTTAATGCGGGGTGCGGGTGAGCGACTGGGCAGTGATTTGGCAATATTAGCTCTTTATAAAGCCATATCAGAAGGTGATACATCTGAGGCCCGCTCTATAATTCAAAGAGACCCGTCAGTGGTAAGTTATAACTTCCAGTGCTCAAAATCGAATAAACGTCAAAGTATATAAGACACTACTCAATCAGAGCAGTCTTATATAATTATGTTAAAACAAGCATCTAAGTTATTCACACAGGTGGAGCATTATGATTATGATTTTGAGAGGGAAAGCACAAATCCATTGGAGCGCGAAATCTCAAACCATTACGTATCCTTCACTTACCCACTGCCCACTGCAAATTGCCCATTTCTACAAACAACATGATTAAGGTGTTATTTTTGAATTATCACTGTAATCTTTGCATAAGTAAACTTATAGTATTGGTCAATGTGGGTTATTTTTGTTTAGCCATTCGTCCTGATTTCAAAGTGCAGCACCACCTCCGATAATCCGATGCATTGATTGGCAATGAAAGGAAATGAGGCTTAACGTCCTGTTCTGTGCTGTCATTGGCATGATTAGCCTACTATTCTTTGCCCATTTGCATTTTCAGATTAGCAAAACCTTTAAACGCTCTACTGTTCTGCACCGCCATTGGCAATGTTACTATTCTTTTTATATCTGTATTTTCAGATTAACAAAACCTTTAAAGGCGTGACACCTTTAATTTTTGCCAGTCATCAAGGTCAAGATGCCATAGTTGAAGAACTGTTGAAGAAAGGTGCTGACATCAACATTGTCGATCATCTCGGAAACACAGCCGTAGCAGCTGCTATAATTGGGTATAAAGCAAAGCACTATGGAAGGGTATCGTTGCCAATATTAAATGCTCTGCTAAAATGTGTTTTCTATTGATTACGTGTAAAAAGTACAATGTATAAAGTCTTAATACCGGTAATGATAAAGTCAAAAGACCTCTAAGCCCAAAGTTAAATGTAAAACGTCAAATGTCAAAGTTTTTATTGGAAAATGCTGTTTTTGACGTGTCTACATTTGACATTTCCCTCATCACATTTTACATTTGCGTTGTGCCGCGTCTCATTTGTCCTTCACGCTTTCTACATAACATCTTACGCAGATCACTAAGTTTGATATGCAAATGTAGGATATCACGTGACTTATTAACATTATTCGGAAACGAGGCCGAGATCATCCTGGCACACTATAAGCCAGCACACTATAAGATATTTACATTGACTGCGATATCACCTCGGTGGAAGCGGACGTTAAATAAAGCTATTTCACACACATAAGATATTTACCCCACGATTTTGGGCAATCAACATGGCAACCTATAAAAAATTCACGGGACGACCGTGCCTGCAATAAAATCATGTGATTGGTATGTTTAATCCGAGCCTTTGACAAATAACATAAATTGTCAGTATAGTCTATATTTAGCAATTAGGTTACTGTCGGACAGCGACACATTTCTTTCGACAAAACAAGGAGGACTTTTCTTTCTCTAAAGTATGAATGTGCCAGGAAATAACTGAGAGATTCAAAGAGCCATAGAAACATACTTTCCAGTGATGTATAACACGATAACTGGAATTTCGTATTAAGACCCGTATTTTTTAAACCCTCGCCACCGCCCCACACCCGCTCCATAAATTTTATTACATGCTAATTAACTTTAATCCATTTTTTTAAAAAGTATAATCATTGTGCCCAACCAATAATGAATATACATGTAGGCCTTAAAGAGCGGAAAGAGTATACATAAACGTGCTTTTCACTGATATGTAACATGATATCGTGAATATCGTATTATGACCTGTATTTTGACATTGCATACACCCCCCCCCCCCATCCGTAATCATGGTAATATAGTTTAGTACCATCCAAATTTGATCGTTTTTTTCAAGGTAAGTACAATTCCTATAGTGTGCCAGGTTGATTTCTCCTTATCGTGTGCTTACTTATAGTGTGCCAGGATGATCTCGACCTCGTTTCCGTATACTGTTAATAAGTCACGTGATATCCTATATTTGCATGTCATAGTTAGTGCTCTGCTTAAGATGCTATGTAGAAAGCGTGAAGATCAAATGAAATGCGACAGAACGCAAATGCTAAAACGCAGCCTTTTCCAATCAAACATTTGTCATTTGACACATTACATTTGACGTTTTCCATTTAACTTTCGCCTTAGAGGTCTTTTGACTTCATCATTACCGGTTTTAGGACATTGTACATTGTACTTTTTACATATAATCAATGGAAAAGACATTTTAGCAGAGCAGTTAATATTGGCAGCGATACCCTTCCATAAAACTAAAATATTTGAATGATTTAATCCAAAACAAAGTTTATCAGGCGGCTTATTGATTCTTGAGATTTTAGTTATTTGGAAATATGAATTAAAGCTAAACTTCTTCAATTTTTAATTTAGGTCAAAGTATTTTTTTTAAAAAATGTGTTGATCTGTTATGTTGTTTTGATTAGTGATGGATCTAAAATTGTAACACATATCGACATATTTATTTTGTCAATTTAAAGTCTTCTGTTACATGTGACAATACGTCTTCATAAGCCGGGTTGATGCCGAAAAGTAGGAAGTCAAACCATATTACAGTTACGTAAATCTATCTTTAATCCTTCAATTTTGCATTAACAAATCATCCTAATATCAATAGCTTTTATGCTAGCACCATGGAAATGAGTGTTGTGCCTTTTTTTAATTTTGCAAAAAGGGAGAAAAAGAAAATAGCAAAATATTTGATTGAAAAGGGTTGTGACATAACTGTTACTGACAACAATGGACGAACAGCTATACATTCCGCAGCGATTGAAGATTTTGGAGATATAATTTCCCTTTTGATACAGAGAGGATGTGATGCAAATATTCAGGTACGCATTTTGTATTTTAATGTCATTAGATATTTCATACACAACTGTTGCGGTATCATTATAAAAGTCCCCAAAGGGAATCTAATTACATATTATTGTGGTTCAGATAGTCACATCGATAACCGGAGAATATACTGTAATACTAATTGAAAGTGATACTTAGATACCTTGTGTATTTTAACCAAAAGCAAAACATTCCCTGGTTTCTCGTGTTCAATTTCAAATATATTTTGTTTAATGGGTATGATTTAATTCAGGACAAAGTTGGTGACACCGCACTACATGATGCTATTGCTAAGGGCTCAAGTAGTGCTGTCAACATACTGTGTAAATCGCGAAGTACAGATTTGACCTTGGTCAACAGAAAAGGGTTTAACCCTCTTCATCATGCTGCTCTGAAAGGCGACACCGAGTAAGTAGATTTTGTCAGTTCATTGGACGACACATACCGAAAGGCGACAGCGTGGTTCATTATGCTATTAGAATCGGAGTGGAACAGTAATTTCAATTCGCAGGACAACAGGATATACTTCGTCTATAATAGGTTTATTATCAGTAACATATGTATTCAGAATAATATACATTTTCATACAGCTACTGGGCGGTGCATAAGGGAAAGGCCTTGGGCTCACTCCCCGAGCTCCCGCCTCTCTACTATAACTTATCATCCATTAATAATTTTATATACTTATTCAAACATCAGTGCATGACATATCGTCTTTATCAGGCATCAATACTTAAAATGTCTGCACGGAAAAATATCAACATATAATGTCCATATGCTCCAAGCAAAAGTTCCGATTATTATCAACTCAATAATCATTACTACACATACTATAGTATAGTGGTTGTAAGCAAAGAACAGGACCCAGGTATGAATGTTGTTACAGCTTGATATTATTCAATACAAATTTTTGCCCAAAATGTCCTGTCACTGACCGAGGATATACTGTATACTGTAAGTTTAATCATGAACATTTAAGTAATGGTGCATCGATTATTTTGATTAGTGGGTCAGATACTTTGATAGAATACCCATATTTGCCATATGATGGAACAGTGGCTAATAAACTGATACACTGGTAACGTTATCTTTGAACTCTACTATGAATCAGATACATCAAAGGCCTCCGTATATCTACCAAATTTGACTAAAAACAAACATTATCATTTTAAGGGCAATCGAAACGATTTTAATGATTAACAAGGGTCTGGTGAATGTGAAAAAATCAGATGGCTTTACTGCTCTCCATGTTGCGGCAGTTAATAACCACGATGATTGTGCACGGATACTTATTCAGAAGGTATTGTTTTCAACTCTTAATTAGGTTATTAATTAGTCTATTTAATTATGAATAATTCTGCGTTATACAGTAACTGTTGCAATTTTGAATGTTGTTACATGCTAATTAGTTTATCATGTTGACCTGTTTTCATAAACATTTCATAATATCTGTCTACTTGACACTTTCCTCTTTATTATTACCGGCACTATATTTTATTATCATGGCCACTAGTGCACTACATTATTGAATTAAAGGGAAATGCCGATGTAAACAGCAGAAATTTAGATGGCGACACTCCTTTGAGTTTAGCAGCTGGCAGAGGATTAGTAGAGACTGTAAAAGTTCTTATTGATAGAAGTATGTATATAAATTCGTAATTGGGACATTACATAATTTTGTTGAAAAAAATGGCAGCTTCTTGTTATTGATTAAAATTATAAACGGAACAATGGTGTTCGCTGGTAAACCCAGAATTAGAGAAACATCGTGACGAAGACTTGCCTTAACGTTGTCTTGACGCTTTGATCTATCTAGCTTCTAATTTGTGTAGTTTGTGCAGAAAAGAGCAGACGTTCTAAAACGATTTTTTTTTGTATCTCCAATCCAACAGACCTCCGGTGACATACCATCATATAGTGAGCTAACAATAAGAAATTTATATCATTGTATTAATATAGGCCAAATGAATTAAACGCAACTGCTCGAGAAAGGGTTCAAGTTTTCAAATAGAACTGATGACAATAGGGGTAACGTGGATTTAATCTTTTTTTCTAAAGAAGTTGTAGAATGAAACTAACCTTATATCTTTGTTTTTGGTAATTCTTTAAGATGCTAACGTTAATGCTGTGAATACCAAAAAAGAAACGCCCCTTCATGCAGCATTATCACAAACTGATTCGAGTATGGAACTTGGACATCCGATGGTAAGTAACATTTTTAATGTTATCTTATAGCTATTTTAAAATGATCCCCAAGCTCTGTTGAATTGTGAAATGAAATCTATATATACCCAAATACATAAACAAGGCCCAAAAGCTAGATTACCATACAATCCTTACACGTAAACTTATGTTTCGATACTAGAAAGGAAATGAAACGAAATGAGGCTTAACTTCCAACTGTTCTGAAGATGAGCATGTTGAAGGGGTTGTGGTTGTATGGGGCGGGGAGGGGTGGGGGAACTGTAGCGTCATTTCCTCCCACTTTTCAGCAAAGTTCAACTGTCATGTTCTTTAAACGCATACACAGTACCTCGGAGTTTCATCTAGACCCTTTTTCTTGCCATGTCATCTTTCCTGCGTCACTGACAAGGGTACAACAGGACGAATAATCCCAAGGAATCCTGGTTAGTGAGTCAACACCCTACTTTCTGAATGTAAATGTGGGTACCATTAAAAACACAAGGTTAAGTTACGGGGTGTCAAGCTGTATATGGAACAGTATAAACTGCAGTATAACAAATATAACAAATTATTCTTTTTTACTTACATCTCAACATATTTATAGCTAGGACTGGGATTGTTACTAGGACTCGGTATTGCCACCAAAGAAAATCGTATCAAAGCGGCCTGCACGTTGATTGAAAATGGTGCTGACTTAGAAAAGCGTAATAGTGAAGGTAAAACACCCCTGGAGTGTTGTTCAGATGATGTGATAAAAACAGCTGTAAATAATTTCATAAGACAAAGGTATTTACTAATAACTACAGATGTTCTGTTACAAAATTCCAACATCCTCAAATATTCGATACCATTCACCAAAATAAAGAGATTGAATTGCGCCAATAGACATATTAAATACAATTAAAAAGAACTGTTCATGTGTTATTTATCAAAACTTTGTTTTCCCCAGGCAAGAATTATTCAACAACCATGTAAAAAATTACAACCATTTACTTTGCAAAATTTCAGAAATACGATAAACCCCGAATAGGAATTATTCTCCTACACACACCCATCTCCACCATCACCTCCCCATCTGACCCAGCTCACCCCTTTATTCCTTTAATTGATGCAATGTTGAATTGTTTTTCTATATTTTTTTTTAGGAGAGACCAGCCATCAACTAGCAGAGGTGCGATATTCTTTTTTCAAATTTAAGATTAAATATGCATACATTGTTGGGGGACTGTGCAGTGATCGACTGGCTCAAAGTCGTGCTTGGCCTCAGTTGCGTTGTTGCAAGCCGTTTGGCCCAGCTATTGTACGTGAGGCGGAGTAGTAGGGTCTCCGCCAATCTATAAGCTAATTTCCCACTGCTTAAGACCTCTGCGCGTGAATGTCTAAAATAAAGATTATATATACAAAAATGTACGAGTTCGAATCTGGGTATGAACCGAGAAAAATCTTCAGTATTATTGAAGCCTGGTTATCAATACTTGTCAGGTTTGGGTCTGAAAAGGAAAGTGTGCGTATTCGTTCGCTTTGTGCGAAAAACCGAGGTCCATCCGAACTGGCATATGTACATGCAAAATAACCCTGATATACATGGAATTAAAAGAAGAGTAAGTGAAAACGCCACTGACCTTGTAAGATTCTCGCCTTTGCAATATATAGTGCATTAGTAGGTGGAAATGAAAATGGTATGATATTCTCAAAAAAATTCGAAACTCTTTCATTTCTAAAGCTTATGTTTTATTTGTTTCTGTTGACAGTTCTACAAACATCGGCCCGCCGAAACAAAGATTGTTCGATGCAGTAAAATCAACGCTGAGATACTTTCAAAGGCTTCTTAAATGTATATAATTATGATTTGGGGGTTTTCTATAACAATATTTGTATTCAAGATTGTCTGTTAACTTATGGTATTTTATCAATTTGCTTTGTAACATAATAGTTTTTCATAAGTGTACAATGTAATTTTCAGTAATTGCTTGGCAAATCGAAATATTTTACAAATTACCTTTGTTTTTGTGCACTTACGCAATTTGTGAGAATTGGAGATAAATGGGTCATTACGGAATAGCCCACAAGGTAAGATTATACCAAATGATTTATTTGAATAAAGTATATCCAGCTGTACATGTATATCCATCATTGTATTGATTATATTATTGAGCATTATTGTGTATTAACATAATAAAATGTTGTGTATTGATATGTATATTGGTGTGCATTGTTTTGAAGTGGGGAATGTGGATATTTTCCACGTTTGGTTAGGGTCTGAACGACCAATCAGTGAACAGCGAAATGATCTTTGCCATCTTATGAAGAAGCCACGGAACTCCCGCCATCATATAAAACAGTATTAATCCAGGGCTAAATCCATTTGTTAAGACCAGCTCAATTTTCGTCAAGGTCGCTGGGATGTAAATAAGGTCAGGACACATGATTGTTGGCGAGATTGTAGGTTAGGGTTAGGGTAAGCATTGGGGCTAGGAAATAGACTGGCAATTATTGGGTGTCTATTATTAACAATTTGTTTCGTTTTCATTTTTCACTTAACCATCGTTAAGGACCGAAATATTCTGGGAGAAATTAGTGAAGTCGAAAATGTTCCAATGACAATGACTGACATGATTGCATTTTGTATGCTGTCTTTACCCCTGTCTGTACGTCCGCCGGTATGGATGCTCTAAAGACAAATTTATTACCCGATTGGCTGTAATGGTTTCCTACAATTACTTGTGTATAGAGAACTTTAGATTACTAAAATTATGTTACAAAACAAGATCTATGTACGTACTTAGTCAAATACATTGCTGTGCAAATGTACGCCAGATTTTGTTCAAAAACGGATTTGGTCATGTTTGGATTAGTCAAGACGTTGCTAATATTGCTCAATTTAATGTTATTGTTTAAACCGCGGGTTAGAGATATAAGTATATTTTACAGCCTACTCAAATCTGGTATATATCGCCAATCATATTTAAACAGCAATCTTCCACATAAGGTTTGAATTAGCAAATTTTAAATGTTCAACTGTTCTTCTTGAAGTTGAACAAGGAGCGAACGTATAGTATATGCAATCTCTGCGACACCAAGCAAGTGGGCGATGAAATCCAATCTGGAAAGATCTTAGACGTAATTCTTACCGTCGTGGTTCATCAGATCTCCAACTGTGAGTAATCTATAACCGATCACATAACCAGTAGTGGATCAAGAAGCTGTGAATCGTATGGCTTATATAGTTGTTCGCCGGTCGTTTTCTCGCCGAAAAGCATTTTTTTAAGTGGACATAAAGTTCATGACATATTATGATCGTTATTAATTTTTTTCAACCTCAGAGAAGTGACTATATAACACTAAGCAACCTGAAGGCGTCGGGGTGGGGGTCGGGGCTGTGGAAGAATGATGATATAATAGAATCGAGCGCCGTAAGCGCTAAGAAATTTCAAACAGCTACATATAATATTTATGTAACTGAGGGAACTTTGTCTCACGAGGGCGCTTACTTGGTCTCATGGGGCCTGAACTGTTATCTAAATTATTAATTAGACATTAATTAACTTATCCAGACCATAATCAACTCTCGATGTCATTAGATACTTACGGGATTAGAATCAAAACTGCTGCTAAACGCTCATTGATAATTAAATCAAAAAGTGCATAATCGAGACTATGTTTTTATCGTACCGACTTTAGTAATGATGATCGAGGCTAGGCCCAAAATTCAATCGCTAAATTCTCGGTTCAGAGTGGAATAATTTGACTGAAAATTTCAGCAAATTCCCCTTACATTATCTAGTTTTTAACTGTTATAGTGAGAACTGTCAGCTCTTTATCTAATCTCCCATAATGTATCTTTAAATACATTTTACCTTGTAAAAGAATTTGTAAGGTGTACATATGATATTACTTCAGATGCATTACATGTATATCGTAGGCTGCTGTTTTATAATTATAAATATACCATTTGTTTGATTGCTGGTTTGTTTAATAATTACTTTCGGACATATGGTCCTGGGTCACCTTGAAAACGAAATAAAATGTATTGGAAATGGGGTTTAACGTCCTACTGTTCTGCTCCGAATGGGCTAATGAAGACGGGAAACCCTGTTGTTGGTGTTTATTAAGCATATTAAGCACATTAAGCATATAAAGATCAAATAAAATGTACTTAGAAGTTAAAATGAAAGCAAAATTATAGTTATATGGGTGGATGGGGGTAATAGGGTACATTTCAAGGGAATTTAACCCATCCGACATTTTCATACAGATAAAACAAGTTTATAATCTACAAATATAATGTGTCGTCTATCAATGCCGTGCAGATAAAACAAATTATATTTGGCCTGTATTATATCATACACATAAAAGAACTATTATAATATGCGCCCTGTTTAATACACATAAAATAACTATTATAATATGTGTCCTGTATCATACTGATAAAACAACTATTATAATATGTGTCCTGTATCATACAGATAAACAGCTTTATTATAATACGAGTCCTGTATCATACAGATAAAACAACTATTCTAATGTGTGTCTTATATCACAACGAATAATCAAATAATATTTGTCCTGTATTGCCATATCTGATTTGTAATGGTTATTTTAATTATGTTATTTATTCGATAGGCTATAATGAGACCACATTACGTAATTATGAAGAGCCCCGCGAAAGAACGATCTAAGTCACTTTTTCAACGAACCCCAACGAAACAATCTATTTCAGGTAAAAACGACCGGAGTCACATCGAACCAAGGCCCTTCTGAAATGGCCTCCCGGACAAATACAAGTCCATCTTTCCCTTTATTTAACCTTAAAGATATATTATGTAAGATTTAGATAAAGAGCTAGCCATTCTTGCTATTATAGTTTGAAAATAGATAATGTAAAATGAATAATTTGAAAATTTCATTCAAATTACTCTATTGCGAGCGAAGATATTAGCCTTTGAAGGTTTGACAAGACGTGTGCAATAATTTCAACCACCGTACTGATTGTTCGAAGCTAAGTCTCGCTCCTCCATTTTTAGCTTAAATCAAAATATGGCTGAACTGTTCTAATCTATTTAATATCGGAGAAATCCGATGCCACCGAGAGTTAATAATGGAATGGATAAGTTAATCAATGTCTAATTAATAATTTAGAAAACATTTCAGGGCTAAAGAAAGACCTGCAATAGGCAGATTTAGCTCTTGCATAATGTATGTTTAATTTGCCTGAAAAGTTGAAGTCAGTTGTACTGGTAATTATGATTCGTATTAAACATCATTTTGAAGTTGTAATTAAACTCACTCGTTGTTCTGTTCGCGTCAAACATTCTCGTCCAAAAGTCTGTTTTGCCTTTTATGCGAAAAGACAACCAGCGGTTGCCAGGCAGGATACGCCCACATTTTGCAAGAGATGGATAGAGAACAAGCTAAAAACAAACGGGATTTTTTTGTACAATCAGGGACAATAATCCAGAAAGGTATGGTCTGAAATGCGCAAATATCAAAAGAGACTGAGATCTTTGGGATATAAAAATATGTTTTAAGTTTCATCAGAATCGGATAAAAATTGTGACCTCTAGAGGGCCCACAACCTTCGTATATTGCATACTTTTACACAATTTGCGTACAAAGAGCGGCCATTTTGTCGGGCAGTTTCATTTCGATTTTCCCGAAATTCGAATTCAGCCTTCATTATGGTGGAATGGTGAAAAAAATTAAACGGTTTTTAAAATCGGAAAAAAAATGTGACCTCTAGAGACTCCGCAAGCTAAAAATGCGATTTTTCGAACAATCAGGAGCCATAATCCAGGAAGCTACGTTCGGATATACGCGATTATCAAAAGGAACCAAGATCTTAGTGTGTATTGGTGACATATTCACATGTTTTTTTCTAAACCGAATAAAAATTGTGACCTCTACAACAAGCTAAAAACATGATTTTTCATACAACCAGGGTCCATAATTCAGGAAGTTACTATCCGATATGAACGAATATCAAAAGGAACCAAGATGTTTGGGTTATCAACATGCATGTCAAGTTTCATCAAAATCAGATCACAATTGTGACCTCTAGAGGGTCCAAAAGCTTGATATACCAGATGTTTACACTAATTGTGTACGAGGGGCGGCCATTTTGTCCCGCGTTTTGGTCCGATTTTCACGAAATTCGAACTCAACCAAAATTACGGTGTAACAGTGATATATTTGAACGTTTTTTTTTAAATCGGATAATAATCATTGTGACATCTAGAGGGACCACCAAGCTAAAATCGCGATTTTTCGTACAATCAGGGGCCATAATTCGGGATGTTACGGTCCGATATGCGCGAATATCGACAGGAACCGAGATCTCTGGGTTATAAACTTACATTTCAAGTTTCATCAAAATCAGAAGAAAATTGTGACCTCTAGAGGGTCCACAACCTTGATATAGCATATTTTTACGCTATTTGAGAACGAGGGGCGGCCATTTTGTCTGTCAATTTTGGACCGATTTTCACGAAATTCGAACTCAACCATCCTTAGGGTATAACGGTGATATATTAAAACGGTTTTTTGAAATCGGATAAAAATTATGACCTCTATAGGGTCCACAAGCTAAAAACGCCATTTTTCGTACAATCTGGGGTCATAATTAGCAAGTTACGGTCCGATATGCGCGAATATCAAATCGAAAGGAACCGAGATCTTTGGGTTATAAACTTACATTTCAAGTTTCAACAAAATCGGATAAAAATTGTAACCTCTATAGGACCCACAAGGTAAAAACGCGATTTTTCATACAATCAGGGGCCATAATCCATGAAGTTACGATCCGATACATGCCAATATCGAAAGGGGCCGAGATCTTAGGGAGATAAACCTATATTTCAAGTTTCGTTGAAATCGGATAAAAAATTGTGACCTGTAGAGTGTGCACAAACAATTGTGGACGGACGGACGGACGGACGGACGTCCGGATGGACAGTGACGACAACAGTATGTCCACATGAAAATGTGGGCGTATAAAAAATGTGACTTGGATCGTTCTTCCCCTGGATTCTTCATATTATTACCTGTATTAGTTGTACATAATGATTAGTGTGTATACTTTATATCATTATATCATTTTAAATCCTATTTTGTTTTTCTGGGCTTGATATAGACCTACATGTACGCACACAGTCTTTGTGTATAAAACAGGGGAATTTATATCTTTATAATTGTATTTCTTTG